CCTGCTAAGCAAAAGCCAAATGTAAATGTTCTTGTTACCATGGTATGGGCACAAATGAGAGATGAAAAGAGATGAACTAAAAAATAACTGAGAAAAACATTGCTTGGAATTGTATGCCCTCTTCTGTTTTCCTCATGCAAGTTGAAACACATGACAGGAAAGAAGAGACCATGCCGTTATAAGCTATTTCTGTTTCCTTCAAAACATACTACGTTTCTAACAGAGTTATTCAATGTTTGACAGAATATGGCTGAAAAGTTTCTTGATGGTGATGCATCATTGGATTCATTCATTGACGAATACCAGAGCAAACGTATACTGGCTCACTTGCGACGTGTAAAAATCGAGAAACTCCAAGAGATGGTGCTGAAGGGACAGAGGCTTCAGCAGCAGCCTCAGCCAAGAGCACCTGAAACAACACCAGCACCAACACAAACTTCCTACTCTTCAGATGCAAACACTCCTCCCTCAGTTATGCCCCGGCGAATACCACCCCCACCTCCTTCATCAGTCCCAGCAGGATGCCTCCCCACTCCATTTACTGCAGCAATGGGTTCAGGACCACCTCTTCCTTATCCAGGAGTTCCCTATCCTCCCCTTCCTCCACGAGTGGGAGTTCAGTCTCCAGGTCAAATGCCACAGCCAGGATACCCAACTCAGTTTGTATCACAGTTCCCTCCAGCACTGCCTCAAAGACCACCACCTCGTCTTCCACCACATCCTGGATTTATCCTACAGTGAATATATTGGTGCGCCTGTCTCATGTATTGGTGCTTAAATTTGAATCCTTTATCTCCCCCTTCCAGAGACTAAATATAGGCAGTGGAAAACCTCTGTGTTTTGTACAATGGAACACAAAGTTTAGGCTGCAACATAGAGTTGTGAAATTGCATTCAGTAAATGTAATCATATTATTTTCTGTTTTTGAAAAATCAGTGACTGTGTAAACTATTTTTTTGTAGGAAGGCAACAGGACCGAATGTTGTAAATCTGGCAAGTTGTGAAACAATTCAGTGGATTTGTTTTCGTTATAAGTATTGTCCTAATACTTCAGTGATGGTAAATGATTAAGGAAAATAGCATACTTGTCTGACTTGATATTGTGTTCTCATTGCAGCTGGATTTTAAGCATGGTTAATTGTGAGCTATAAAGAATATTCTGTGCTGTAAGTGCTAGTATTTGGATGGTTACCATTGTATCTAAATGCTAAGCATAAATAAAGCTGCAGGGAAATCACCTTTAGTCTTTGAAATAAGCCCATGGCTTCACATTGGTGGCCAGGTACACTAACTTTGTTCTCGGAGCCTGTGATACAGACACTCAGTTCAATCAGAAAATGTTTGGCAGCTTATTTTGAAAAGCATAAATTCTTAAACTATTTTAACTCCCAAATTCATTATTTCTTTGAGATTTTCGTAATAAAAATGTGAGCTTGTCCGTTCTGTACATTTATTTCCTGAAAGACCAAGTTTTTTAAAATAAAACTGGTGATTGATCCTGGAAGCGGTGTAAAGAAAACTATTTGTAGTGCCAGTTCATATTTTTGTAGAAAGGTCATTGTCCATACTTTCTTGAATCTAATCTCATTTAGCCCTCTTCTATTTTTTTCCCACTTTCCTGCCTTACTTTTGAGGGTAGCTGCTTTTGCTTTGTGCTTAAGTTATCCTTCTCATGCTATATGATTGAGAAGCTTTTTTTTTTTTAACTCAGGTGTAGCTTTTGATGTTTTGTGATTTCAGGAGCTGAAGTGCTAGACTCAAATTTGTCTTAATCCAGCACTGGGCAGTTACAAAGCGCCACACATTCATATTTTCACTCTTTCTGCTTTGTCTCATATTTAGAGACACTTCTTGTTCCTAGACACCATAACCTTCTTTCCTGTAGTGTTTGAAATTTTTTTTCATCTGAAATGTACAGCTAACAGTCCCTCCGGTAGTCAGAACACTCTAGGGTGACTGCATCTTACTTAATTAGTCTCCTCCCATTCTCAAGCCATTTGAGAGCAGAAAAAGGATCTCTACAACAGTTTAACTTTCAGTGTCATTGTGTGACTCCTGGAGCCTGGGCCCTAGGCACAAGACCAAGCCTTAATCCAAACCGGGGCAACCATATTCTTTGGTGTCTAATCAAAATTCCATAAATACTTATTCTCAGCCCTCTCCCATCCTCAGTCAACCCTTGCCTTGCTACTAATTAGAATAATAATTTAAGAAACATAATTCAGAATCTGTTGCATCTTGTATGTGGAGGTAGACTTTTTCAGATCACCATCTGACACTGTCCAGGACAGTGGTAGATTGCTTGGAAGGCTCCAGTATATTTTTTCTGATAAGGATCAAATCAGAGTATTAAATGTCCCACTACCCTCCTGGGTCTGTGTAAAGCCTCCATCTACCAATTAGCTATTTCCCCCTAGAGTTTGGTAATTGTTGATAATACATTAATAATCTCATAATAGGAAACCCTCTGGTTTGAACACTCCCACTTGAAGATCAGAGACTGCAGATAGGGACTAGAATAGCTTCCCCTATGTAAATCTAGAAAGGGGAAATTTTGTAAACCTAGCAAGTTGTGAAACAATGTGCAGTGGGTTTGCATAAGTATGGTTTCTCTGTAATCTAGTGACGGTACATGATTTTATAAAGTGTCTTTTCTTAGTAATATGTTCTATGATCCCAGTGCTAGTATAGTTACCATTGTATCTGTATGCTGACTGTAAAGCTGCTGTAAAAATAATAAATACAGGTGTAGAGCTGCAAGGTTAATAGAGGTGTATAAAAACTCTTGACACACAGATTAGATTTGCTAAAATTTTATAAAAACAGATAGGTAGATCTTATGCTTATCAGTTGCCAGTTTATTTTCTGAGTTAAAAAATTCCTCAGAAACCATGGCGGGGATGAGATAAGTGTATTTTGAACTTTGCACTGCATTTTAGGCACCTAACTCTTTTTTAAATGATATTGCCCCATTATTGGTATTACTGAGAAATAGTCCAAAACTATTTTTTATTACTTGTTAAATTGTCTGTTTTTAGTATCTTTATTGATAACAAGACCATTCAGGGATGCATTGTTTAAAAAAATACTGTATTGTGAAAACTAAATGCAGATTAATTTGATGCAATTTACTGTGTGAAAACAATACATTATCACATATGCATGTGTCTGATGTGCCTTAGAATCACTACATGTGATAGGCAAATATTCTGGTAAGAATATTAGCCTATATTTCAGATCAATAGCCATTGCTTAAGCTTTTTGATATAAGTTTAATATAGGTTTAACGCTTTCTTTTATGAAAGATTTTTCACCAGGTACTTTAGAATAAGGCAGTATCTGCTATTTGTATGCTTAATTGCTGTCAGTGGATGATTAGTTTGATTGTTAGAAAGATAAACTGTCACAATGTCTTTCAGTCTCAAAATTGAATTCTTAAGTGTTCTTGGAAAATGTTTGGCCATTAATGAGTATTGGTGTATGTGCAAACTGGTTTGTAGTTACTTATTTGCATATTCAAAGCAATGTTTGGAGGTGAAGGAAAAAGTACTTTGAAACCTTTTTGAATTTTATTTTCAGAAACATAAATTATATCACAATAATCTGTCTGGGTAGGGTGAGAGATTCAGGGGTTATTTCATGCCTATTGCAGTCTGACACTGTTTCCAATTACATCTATTATAGGTAAAGAGTAAATTTTGCTATAGATTGGTACTATAGGTTGTTAAGATGCTGTTGACAAGTTGGATCCCATATGAGGGGATAGTTCCATTCTCATGCACAGATGTTCTTTAATATACAGTGTGATATGATTTGAAATATTTCCTAATAAGAATCAGTGTTAAGGAAACATTTTTTATAACATAAAAGTGGACACTGAGCTCAATTGGAATGGTGTAACATGGTTTTAGAATGTAGAATGCATTTTAAATGCCCATTTTGGATGGTTTTCTCTTCTGCTAACCTTTTGTATGCAATTTTGTAAATGACGACTGTATTCACTTTACCTCTTCTGGGTAACTCGTGTTGAATAGTAATCATTAAAGATCTACTTCACTGCATTGGAAAGCTGTCTCTGAGGGGACCAATCAAATAGTTGTTTAGAAAAGCTGTACTGGGAACTCCAGTGATACAATAGAATAACTGTTCTTTGTGTAACTCTAGGAGGCAGGGTACTGAGCACAAGCCTATGTCTTAATCTAGCCCTGAGAGATCATTTGATGCCAGTTAAACCACCACAGCCTCATATTTCCAATCCCTCCTGAAGCTTCCTTTTCATACTGGATCAGTTATGTGTATAGAGGGCCCAACATGTGTTTGTCTCTTTTCTGGGGGCTTCTCTGTTCAGTTGTTTGTCTCCCAATGTCCTGAAGCTCCTGAAAATTTTTTTTTTTTTGGCTGGAATGATTCGTGGTCCGTCTTCCCTTAAAGGTGGTGATAGAACTTTTTAGAATTATAGAATACAGAACATTAAGGATTTTTTTTCTCCATCCTAACCAGGATTTTACAATAGGCTGTTTTCCTCTTAACAGTTGGTAGTTGTTAGCAGTTACTGGGAAATCTTATCAGGAAATCCTTTAGTCTAAAAATAGGACTTTTGACTAGCCCTCCCCTTAGGAGTTAAGAGGCAGCAGATTTGTTAAAGTTCTTGGCCTCTGAACAGCTCAATAGATAAGCTCAGAAAGTGCTAATAAAAGGGTAATTTTATAAGCCTAACAGGTCACAAGACCATGTGCAGTAATTTAATTTGTGCGTTAAGTGTTGTCTCAATGTAATCTGGTGATAGTACATGAGTTTAATAAATGAGCATATTTGTCTGTTTTAATATGGCGAGCCCATTGCAGCCTGATTTAAGCATTTATAATTGCAAACTGTCTCTAAATAATGTTCTTTTATCACCTGTGCTATTTGATATGTGGTAATTGTATTTGAATGGTGAGCATAAATCTGCAATAGGGAGTTTGCATAGCTTGAAAATTTAACCTAAAGTCTAAGCCACAGTGTTGATGAGTGTGTACAGTAAACTTATTCTGAGAATCAGAAGTGCACAAATTCTAAATAGCTAGTCTTGAGTTAGGTTTTGTAAAGTTTTGGTAAAAGCAACCAGGTAGCTTTTACATTTACCAAGTGCCAGCTTACAGATGGACTCTTAACTTTCAATTTCCTCTGGTTTCAGTTTCCTGATCTTAACCTGTCTAGGAAGATAGATCTTGTATGTCCTAGATAAAATATCACTCTTCAAGGTTGAGTGTGTGTGGAGAAAAGCTTATACATTGCTCCTATTTTCATGCAGAATAAACTTTACATTGAACATAGTTTAGACAATTTAAATACTGAAGAGTCTACCTGGGCATCTGAGCCATGGGAATGGCAGAAGAGAGCTGCTTTAAAAGCAGTATTAAGCAGAAATTCTAGGACAAGTGACCACCATCCATAGTTAAGAAGTCTTTCCCCCAAAATATTGTTCAGTTACCTATGTTTTGGGGGTGCAGTAACTGGGGGGTCAGGATTTGAACACTTCCTCCTGTGCTGCAGAAAACACATATAAAAAGCGTTCTTAGTGTACCTTTAAATGATGTTGCCTATGAGGAAGACAGAATCAAGAAGATGAAATTCTTAAGCACTGATTTCCTAGAAATGTGTTACAATGGCTGCATTTTGTAGTTTGAAGACTGTTTAATACTTGACTTCTTTAGAAGTCTGTTAAAAGCATTTACCTTGATATCCAAATTAGTCATCCAGTTAAGTGTTTGTTAAGCTGAAAGTGACATTTATTCTGCATGGGCAAATGTTTATGTGGATTATTGTCCTTATGGTGGTAACCTTAGTCTTTCAATATGGTGAAAAATGCTTGATGTTTAACTCCTGGAGGTGGGGAAGAGAAAACAAAATAGTTGCCTAACTGACCATAACACCAAAGGTGTATTGGCATTAAAACTGAAGTCAGTATGTCATTGGCATACTGGCAACCATTTTATTCGGCATCTGTTTCCATCTAGGAGTTGTGATCTACCATGAATGTTCATGGTGGTGAGAAGTTTGCTTTGTGTGTGCACACTATTAAATGCTCCATATCTTTTGTCACCAGAAAATATTATAGATTCACCACTTTTTGTGGTATTAGACAAATTCTTTTGTCCTTTTGTGAAGAAAATTCATGATGTCAACATCAAATTCCAAACCCACGCCTATCTTCTCACTCTAGTTTCTCCTACCCAATCTCAGTTTTCTCTCATGCCTGCTGTGCAGCGGCTGATGGTGTGTGGTTACTTTGTCTTCCCCTCTCCCATCTTCTTTCTAATCTAGAATGTATTTTAACATGGCTTTCGAAGCTTGTATTTTATTGTGGTGTTCAAGGAACTGAAGCCAGAGTCACACATCTATATTTTCAGTCTGATGCTGAGCATCCTCATTCATAGTCTAAACTCCATTTGACACCAGTTTTCTCGGCACTGCAACCTAAACCAATGACACCTGTGAAAAAGCTATATCCAAAATCTTATTCTGTCTTTCATTCAAAGGCACTTGTCTTTATCATCTCTCACATTTCAGAAATGGTTGAAATACTTTTCTATCAGGAATGGTCCAGGGATTTCTTTCCCTTGAAGGGTATTGTGTTCCCATTATGGCTCAATTTAAGCATGGTTAATTGTGAATTACTAATGTTTCAAAAGAAAGTTTTTGGTGATGCTATTTGGATGTTAATTTTAGTATCCCTGTGCAAAGCATAAGGCTGGCATGAAAATAACCTAGACCACAAGAGATGATGGTTGTCTACAGGGAGTTTTGTGTTAGTGTTTAGGGGTTTATGTGTTTAATGGGTCTCTAAATCAGATTCTGAAAAACATAGTAATATAAATCAGATAGATTGCACACTTAGTGCCAATTTATTTTGAGTTAAGAAAAAGTTTCAAAGTGATTGGAGGGGATGATGATCAGCATGATGTGAATTTTGTATTGAATATGATCTTCCTACCTTTGTCCGGGAGGAGTGGTATTGATCCAATTATTTCTACTAAAAAATGGTCCCAGTAAAATTATATTAAGAAAAGTCCACATTATTTTTACTTATCTCTTTTTAAAGTAATTTGTATGATGATGGCAGCAGGACCATTCAGGGATTTTTTTTTGTCTAAAAAACAAACAAACTTCTGCAAATTAAATACAAATGAAGCTGATGCAATTTGCTGTCTGAAAACAATGCATTATCACATGTGTGTGGCTGATGTGCCTTAAAATCAGTATTTACAATTGGGCTAGTAAAACTATTTAACATATCTTTCAAATTAATGGCCATTGCTTAACACTCCTGTTATTAAGGGCTCTAAAAGGCATCCTTTTTTATATAGTTCTGTAAAAGGGTAGTATCTGCTGTTTGTATGGTTGATGGCCCTCTATTGATTATTGGATTAAAATATGTATATATATATTATCCATCTTTTATTAAGTCAGTTGTAATTATCTTGTACCTGAACTCTAGCTGCTTATGGAAAATGTTCTTTTGTGAAATGTGTGCCCTAGGGATGTAAAATTGTGGGTAAACAGCTAACTGGTTAATCAACATGTTTAACTAGTTTACTGTGACACAGGGCCACAGGTGGGAGCTGCTGTGGGTGGGGAGCTGCTCGGGTTCGGCCAGGACCACCACATTGTGCCACAGGTGGGGGGCTTCTTGGGCTGGGTTGGAGTGACCCCACCTGCAGTGTGGATGGCCCAGCCAGGCTAGATAACCCCGATGCCCCCCCACCGGGGGGGGGGGGGGGCAGGTGCCAGCCACTGCAATGCAGCCAGCTGGGTTCCCACCTACTTCTCCCAGGGGTATGGCACAGCCAGGACTGATGGAGCTGCCGATACCAGCACTGAGGCTGCTTCAGTGTGGCAGGGGGGGGTGTTGCCCAGTTAACCTGTTACCTATCCGATAAGCCTAATGCATGCTAGGTAACTGGATAACTGCTTACATCCTGTGTGCAGTGTTTTGATGGTGAAGGAGGAAGAGAGCTTTAGGAGGCTGACTCCTGCTTTCAGAAATGCAGTTGACACTACTAATCTAGCAGGGTGGGACCAGAGATGGAGGTGTTATTTTAGGCCTATCCCCATGTGACAGTATCTCCAACTATTTTTTAAAAGTAGTTTCTTTTGTAGGTACGCTGTTTATAAGCAGTACAGATTAGTATAGTGCTAATGAGAGATGACGATGACATTGGCTCAATTCTCTTGCCAAAATATTTTTTAATATACAGCGTGATGTGATTTTTTACTACAAATGGCAAATATTTTCTAAAAATAATTTAAGGAAATGTCTTTATAACAAAGTGGGCACTGAGTTTAAATTGAGAGGCATAATTTGATTTTAGAATGTAGGTAGCACTTAAAATGCCTGTTTTGGACAGTTTTTATTTCTGCTGACATTTGTATGTATGAAACTTTGTAAATTGTGACCTTATTCACTTTACCTGTACTGTGTAGTGGTTTTTTTTTAAGGATAAATGTACTGCAGCAATGAAGAAGGATTTGCCATGTTTATCTATAAAGTTGTTTAAAAAAATCTCATTTTTATACACCACAGTAATTTACATATCCAGCAAAATCATCTGTAGATAGACAAATGGTGATAAGTTGCTAGTGGTTATAGTTCTGCATTAGCCAAAGTGTTTATTCCTTGGAGGTACTTCCATCATGGAACTCGCTGCATTTATTGGCTGGTTTAGCTTTGCTCTTCCTGTGCATGAATCATTAGCACTGTTTGTACGTATGTTGGAAGCTACTATGAAACTAAAGAACCTTTCCCTTTTTGTGCATAGTGTGACATTATGTATTATTTCTCAGATATTAAAGGATGAAGTTCAGGAGGGAGTGAAACTGAAGAAAGCTAAGAATGATCAGACTTAGCTGATATAGTGCCGAGAACCCAAAAGTATAGTTATAACTAATCTGACAATACTATTTAGCATATAAACGGATATGTAAATATCCTCCCCTCCACATGCACTTTACCATAGAGGTAAGGAAGAATGTAAATCTTCTAGGTGGGATGGACGGTATTGAATATAGCTTGATGCATTAGATATGTTACTTGCTTTGTCAAATGACGCACAAGTTTAACCCCAAATTTCAAAATCTGTATACATTGCATACAGGGAAATCAGAGAGGGGAAGCCTGAAATTGGAAGAATCTTTATGTAATTTAAGCTCAAACTACACTTTCAGTACAATTTGTTTCTAATGTAACATAACACTATAAAAGTTTTATTTGTGCTGTATAAGAATGGAATTGTTAGTGGTTAAGAGACCACTAGTTCATTTCAATAAATGATAAACCAAATTTCTTTGGTGTTTACTTTTTCTTTGCAGTTAGTTTCAAGATTATATTCAGTAAATGAATAGCATAGGTCTGCTTTGTGCAAATTTCTCCTTGACTTAGGTATTTGTTGGGTGATTATTTTTTCCTGAAAAATGTAGGATTACAGCTTAATCAGGGGGAACATATTAATAGTTTAGATTATTAGAGAACGGTGCAATATCCTCTTACGCATGTAGCAAAGTTATTTCTATTGTATCTATCCAATTTTGTGATAATTCTGCAGGATCTAAAAGCTGTTCTAAATATGTGTTCAGCCTTTTATTGGCTTACTTTCCTCCCTGATGTGTGGTTTCAGGATACATCTGAGTCTTGCAGAAGGGTTCTGTGAATGATTTGAATAAACCAAACCAGAGGCAATAGTTCTCTGGCTGCCTTCCAGTGCTGAATTTTGCAGACACAGGCAAGGAAAGGAAGCTATAACCATTCCTGTTTGACGTATTGTCTACTTACTACTTGCAGGGTTATTGTAGCTGTGTTGGTCCCATGTAACTTGTAATTTATACAAGCCAATGTGAAGAATGGAGCCTTACATAACAGATTTTGATATGATCTTAATTCCAGAAGATTTAATTGCTTTTTGTTAGGTCCTTCCATAGTGCAGGCTACAAATGTGGATTTCCATGTGTAGAAGGAATTGCCATAGTGTTGGGAACTGAAGCCCTGAGTGCTAATCCTGGCCCAGCTAGTAATTTGCCAAGATGGGTGAGGTAAAATCTTTTTTAGGGCAACATAGGTGGGTGAGAGAGAAGCTTTTCAACTTACAGAGTGGAGGTGTGTGACACAATTGTCAGGACACTGGGCAAGATGAAGGGATGCCTGCCACTGCACTCCCAAAATGGGTGGAGCCTCAGGTAGAAGGGACAGGGCTGAGAGCTACCCTCCCTTCAACATGCTGCTCGGGACTGTCGGTAATTTAAAGGGCTTGGAGCTCTGGCAATGGCTGGGCTCCTGGGCAGTTGCCCCCATTAGTGGGCCAGTAGGCAGAACTGATACTCTGGGATCAACATGGCCACAACAGTACTACCTGCAAAGGATCTGTTTTTGTATAAGTTTCCCATTGGCCACTGTTTTCCTTGCAAATGAAGCAACACTTGAGGATTTTGTGTTGCATTTTGACTCTGTAAGGGCCTAGGTACATTAGTAGTATTAGCTATAGCATGAACCTAACTCTGAATAAGCCAAACTGTTCGAGGAGGAAGAATAGGAGGAAATGAAATAAGGGTGTGGTGTAAGCTTTGAGGTTAATAGAATGTGACATACCCTGCTATTTGTATTTATTTAAAAGCACCCATACATAACTGTGAGCAAGCCCAAACTTGAATAGTTGCAGAAATTAAGGATGTTAAGGACTAGTCGACTATCCAATAAGCAAATGCTTATCGGATAGTTGACTAGTTGCTACTCCCCCCCTAATAGAGGCAGCAAAGAGGGGGAGGGGGAAGAGGAGGGTACTTCAAAGCAGTAGCGCTGCAGGGAGCCTGGGGTCAGCTGTGTGGCACTGCCCCTTTGGAAAGCCGCTGCAGCATTTCAAAGCCACCCTATAGACTAATTGAATAGTTGATGCAAAAATACATCCACTATTCGATCAATAAAATACACACTACCTAACATCCTTAGCAGAAATGCAGTGCTATTCTCCCCCCAGAACATGGCTGCTGCACTGCCAGCCTGTGTAAATAGTGTTCTAGCTGTATATTGTAAGGTGCATTAGGCACCCCCTTGCATAGTTTGCTCAGACATGTTGGCAAATGACAGTAACTTGGTCTAAAACTAAAGAAGATAATTCAGTGTTGCTAAGTTTCTTGTGTTTTGTTTTTTGTAAGATTTTCATTAATTGCTGGCTTTAGCAGCAATGGGGTAAAAGGATATTTTCCATTGCTGCCAGCTGAACTAAAGCCAGAGACTGTATCACCCTTTGACCTCACTGGTGTCCAGAATCAATGGGGATGTTGGGAAACAGGCCCAGAGAGGCCCTGCATGTGAAATTGGCAGTAATAACTCTTCTCCCCTACAATAATCCTTCCCTTTTGTTTCCTTAAATATTTTCCCTTCAAAGATGCTCCTTTATTCTCAGACCCTGAGCCACAAGCATTAGAGAAGATGTGGCCAGAGAGGAAAGGCAAGAGATATTTATCTAGGGGGTGAGATATGCTAACCTATTTTGAGGGATATGAACATGTACTAAACATTAGTGGTTAGGTAAATGTGATCAGGAGTAGTCACTCTGTGCAAATCAAACAGTCCCAACCAATAAATGATCTGTAGTGTTTTTAAAACTTTTTGCAGAACTAAAAGTAATTTAAGTAGGAAAAAGTGTAAACAAAAACTTAGCATTTGTGATTGATGGGAGGGGTACTATCCATCCCAACTATTCAGTTAACAGGATTGCCTATAAACCATGAAATCAAGAGGGCTGTGGGTATCCAGGAAGTGAGATTTGAATTGAAAAACAGGTTGTTCCTCCTTCAGTCTTATGTAAGTTCATAGCAGGAGCTCAGGGAAGAGATGGACTGAGCCAGGAATGAGGCATAGATTTTCAGTTAAATCTATGCATAAGGAAATAAACCTTGGGACAACAGATGTGAGTAGAACAGGGCGGCTGTGTCTAGACTGGCCAGTTTTTCTGGAAAATCAGCTGCTTTTCTGGAAAAACTTGCCAGCTGTCTACACTGGCCACTTGAATTTCCGCAAAAGCACTGACTTCCTACTGTAAGAAATACTATGCTGCTTCCGTTCGGGCAAAAGTCCCTTTTGCGCAAAACTTTTGCACAAAAAGGCCACTGTAGACAGCTGAGATTTGTTTTGCGCAAAAAAGCCCTGGTCATGAAAATGGCGATTGGGGCTTTTTTTGCGCAAAACCGCGTCTAGATTTGCCACGGACATTTTTCCGCAAAAAGTGCTTTTGTGGAAAAGTGTCCGTGCCGCTCTAGATGCTCTTTTCCAAAAATGCTTTTAACAGAAAATTTTTCTGTTAAAAGCATGCCCAGTCTAGATATAGCTGGAATGTTTAATTAAAAAAAAATAACCTCATCACATCAATTTTGATCTCCTCTGTACTGAGGCCCATGTCCCATCCATTGTAACTTTTATACTGAATCCCAGGGAAGCAACTGTGTGCGCCTTAATGTGGTTTTTTTTCATTTGCTCTAACAACCTAGCACTTGCTAGCAGAATCTGTCCCTTTATCTGCCACAGTTTATAATAAAGATACTAGAACCATGAACATATTTTATTGCTTGTTTGAGATTTACAAAAAATACAAAACCAAGACATTTTCCTGCTAAAAACAGATTTTGGTATAAAAACAGTTACAGCTCTTCAGTTATCCTTTTGCTATGAGAGTTCCATCATGTAGTCTTGTCTTTGCACTTAAAAGTTAATATCAAGCAACCACTGTTGACTACAGGTCAGAGCTACCTTTTAGAAATAATTTGTGGTATGGTTACCTGCATGGAAATACTGTAAATTAACTGGAGAATAGTGCAGCTACAGGCTAACTTTTCACCTGGATTCACTTGAGTTATCAGAAATGTTGGCTCTGAATAGTCTAAAATAAAGGTACCAGATTCCTTAATTGAAATCCTGAAATGAAAAAATCACTACCCCAAAAGCAAAATGTGTCTCTTCTGAAACCCATACAGCAGGAGTTCCCAACCTTTTTCAGTCCCCATACTCCTTTGGCTGTTAGTAAACCTTCCTGTACCCCCTATTCAATATGAAAGGAAAAAAATTGTAGACTCTAGAATCCACAATGTTTTTCTAACTAACACGACTACAGCCGCTCCCCGAGTTACGAACAAGTTTTACGGACCAACGCTTGGTCCGTAACTCGACGTGTTCGTAACTTGGATCCCATAGAGTTACATGGCGACCGCGCTGTTCATAAGCATAGATTGCCATTCGTAACTCGGATCCGCATTTACGACTGCTTTGGTTGTAAGTGCGGATGGTCGTAACTCGGGGAGCGGCTGTACTTTTGGAATATTTCAATTAGGATATTCTACTTATTTACCAAATATTCCCCATAGCGCTTGGCAAGCTTCTTGTACCTCCTGGGGGTACACGTATCCCAGATTGGGAACCCCTGCCATAGACCAACATATTCAATCTTGGTTGTAGGTGGTGCTACATACATTAATGCCTTTTGCATCCACATTTGAAATGCTAGGTATAGGGCTCTTGGTATACTAAAGCAGGGCTTACATTCTCAGAGTATTTCCCAGAGCCTGGTTATGGGGGTTCTGCCCTATGGGTCTGAAAATATTTACCAGATCTCCACTCCAGCTGAATTTAAGCCCTGAGAATGACAATTCTGTCCAACATACAGCAGGGGAGTCAATTATTTTTTGTCAAAGTCCAAACCAGAAAAATGTTTTTCACACTGCATAAATAAAAAGATTTCAGTATCTTTTCAAAAGTATTCAATTGTCCAGATCTGGCCTGTGGTTTGACTGCTGACTTCTCCTGCCCTGTACCATCAGATGCGTAAAACACACAGGCCATCCTCTTAGCAGTGGGTGTAGAGGTTACGTACCAAATCAGTGAAATGGGAAAAAGCAGGCTACTGAATGGATCTATGCTACAGATCGAATAATGAAGAAAGCTACACTTCTATTTTAGAAGTCTGATACAGCACTATGCCCAGTGACATCTGAAGTGGGAGTTGGAGCCAGTTCCATGCTCTCCTTAATCATACTATACTGAAGAGCAGTCACGTTCTTCTACACTACACTTCCTAGTGATTTAGAAAGAGGCGGTTTAGTTAACATTTCTAAAACATTTACATCTACTGCTTGCAATCCCAGTATTGAGCTAGGCATAAGACCCAGGATCTGAAACTGACTTAAGAAGAGCGCTCTATAATGAGCTACGTGAAAGTCATTGACTATTAGCCAAGAAAAGAAAAATTATTTTTCTTAAGTGTTCTTAAATTAAATATTACTATAACTCAAGGGAAGAAATTGTATAGTATTTAAACCAACAGTTTCCCTTTTAATCAATTAACTCTCCCAAAAAATTTATTGCTCCAGACCTCTTAGCAATAATTATTACATAGTTAGTGTCTATCAAAATTGTTTAATTCAGATAATTCTCTTAACTATAAAACACAGTGAAACTATTCCCCTGACCCATTAATAAGAAAAAAAGTTTGCACCCTTATTGCTGTCATATATATATTATCTATTCTTCCCCATGTGTAAACCCTATTCCTTTAAGACATTTAAATAAACAATTTAAAACTAAATTATGCCTCTTCCTTTAAGTAGCTACCCATGAAGAAACATCAGTTGCCCTTTTTCAAGCTGCCACATTGTATACCATGAATGGCTGCAGGAAAAGATCAACTTCCTACATTTAAAAATGTTTCACGTTTCTTTAAAAAAATGTGTGCACTACAGTAGTGAGAGTGAGATACACTTCCATTTACTTAAGATTCCTATTGTTGATAAACAAAAAGTGACCTAGAAGAGCTGCTCCATTCTCTTTCTGTTGAACTGATGTGCCACAGGTTAAGTAGCATTGCTTTAGTAAACAACAGTAACCCAATTTTTCTTGTGCTAGAAAGAAAGTGTCACGTCATGTTGTTCTTCACATGTGGCAGTCAGGAAAACCAGCTGAACAATAAAGGCAGACCAGCTTGAAGGCAATTTGTGGGTTAATCCAGTCAGCGTCTGCTTAAAACACAGATCTAACAGCTGTGGAATGCCTACATCATAGTATGTGCAGCACTTGCTAGTCTGCCTGTGAGGGGTAAACTGGTGCCAGCACAGTCTAAGCCCAGCAGGCATATGATGGGCAGTTAATCCTGGCCCCCTCAACCAAGCTGAAGTGTACTGGGCTAGAAGGCAAATGCAGTAGCCCATGCCATTGCCTCCTCTTTTTGTGCTGAAACAACTTCTGTAGCTTCCTAGAAATTTATGATGTGAGCCTGAAAAATGCCGTCCTGCTGTTCCAGCTAAAAAGGCAATGTAGAAAAATAACAACAGTTAATTCCATTAGTAAAAAGCATCATCTGTGCAAATGACCATCACCACAGCTGGGTCCTTTTGCCAAAGCAGCAGTCAAAGTTCTCAAAGTATGCTCCTGCCCAATTCTCTGCAGCGCAATTAGCATGATCACAAGTTTAACTCCCCAACCTTTGCCTGGAACTTGACTGTAAGGTGTTTGAGGCCGGGACCTACCTAATACCATGTCTAGAACCTCATCTCTGGACACTAGGTATAAATAATAATTCTTCACTGGTCACCCACTTCCAAGAGGGTAGGTGCACTGCTACTCCATCCTCCCGTGCCCCCTGCCACCTTTGCCCTGTAACAATTCCTGGTTGGATGGCAGGGCTGTGATGGAAGCAAACCAAGAACCTCTCCACTTACACCTTCATTGTATGAAGCCCACCCATTTTATGGATTGATGTGTACTGGGGATTATTCGTGCTGAAAACACTGAGTGTGTGTAGCAGCCATAATGGCCAACTGAGCTCTTTCCCACATTCTAATTTCTGCCTCTGACAGTGGCTCACTGTGAGCCCCACAAGCCAGTTACTTCACTTGGACATGCCTCAGTTTCCCCTTATGTAAATAAGACACAGCACCCACCCAAATGCTCATGGCTTAGTTAACACTGAGGACGGGGAATGGATCAGATGGAATACTGTACCTCACAGTCCTGTTTTAGCGGGAAGGCAGGTTTCTGAGCCAGTGGTGGCTTCTTTAAGACGCCCCGCTTTGGTGTCACAGCTGGTTTCCCCTCCCCCTCATCTGGGTCTTCACACACCCCAGCCAAAGCATAATGCTTCTTCCTCAGCTCGCCGAGACGAATTCGCTCATTCTCCAGCTTCTTCTCTAGCTCCAGCACCTTCACCTGCGTAACAAAAGGGCCTGTAATCCCCAGTTGCTGGGTGCACTCCACTATGCTCTCTCTAGCTGTAGGCAACAGCAATCAGAGGAAGTGACAAATCTGCCATCACAGTATGGTTTCCAAAGCTCTCTAGCATGGCTATGCTGGTTTCTAGGTCTGTAATAGGACCTAAAAGCTCTTAACTATCTGATAGGGATCTTCCACTCAAGAAATTTAATCACATCTGGGTCAGAACATAGCAGCCATTCTTCACCAGGATCACCACACAACAAAGTGTTAACTTTACAGTGGGCTTTAGGGAGGGATTTCTGCTGTTTCACCACAAGAAGAATTCTAGGGAGCTTCAGTGTCCCATCCAGATTCAGTCTTGGCTAATACATTCCGCCATATGCTCCTATTCTACAAATCTGAACTCTCTGGCAACAATCAGACAAAGTAACTTATGTCTCATCTTAAAGTCTTATTGCTGAAGACTGGATACACTACAGTGTTTGCTTAAATCCTTACTAGAGATCAGGCCCACATATGGGGGGGCAAAGGGCCCAGCTACTCTGGGGCCTCGTGAAACAATAGGGCCCAGAACTCCCCAGCTGCCCTACTGCTACTGCAGCAGCCAGAGCTCCAAGCCCTTTAAATCACAGCTGGAGCCCCAGCCTGTGCTGAAGGGCTGGCAGTGGAAGGCTAGCCTGGGCCTTACCCCTTCCACTCTAGGCCCCACCCCTGCCAGAAGCACAAAGCTGGCCCCCCTTGTCCAGAGACCCAGCAATTCTGTCGCCGCCCTCCCCCCCCAGCAAGAGATTCTCAGAGACTAGTTCTGAGAAGATGTCCAAGAGTTCTATGTTTGCCAGATCAGTACAATTATCCCAACCTTGATTGCCTGTTCTCAGCACGGGATGCCATACCTGTGTCTCCATTTCTTCCTTCTTCAGTTTGATTAGCGACATGCCAGAGAAGTCCATAGTGTCTGGAGGTGGTGAAGGAGAGGGAGAGGGGAGGTTTATCCAGTAGCAGCTTATAAGGATCATTTTCCAACACTGATACAGAACGGAGCTAGCTGGATACATACTCTCACTCACTTCAAATATGTGTGGAACATGCTATTTTAAGCCAGTGGTGAGTGTGTTACTGACACTCTCTCTGCCCAGTAAGAGTCTCTCAACTGTAGGTGCAGAGCTATGACTATCAACCTGTAGAACCTCATGCTCTTAGTTTTGGAGTTCCCTTGTTCGAGCTCCAGAGTGCCAGCCAGTTGGCCATTGTTATACTTACTCCCTGGAAACTTTATAAACAGAAACCTGAATATTTATGGGAAGAGACTGAAATGTTTGATCCCGTAACAGCCATTTTTCTCTTAGTCCCTGTAGAAGGTATTAAATGTCTGTTCCTATGTTGTGTCTCTGTTATGGAAGATTTCACATTCAACGAACACCAAACTATTACAAAAATGTAAAAGTTCAGATGCTGAAAAGTTTTAAGGCATAATTGCAGTTGGTAGTTGAAGGGAGACTGAGGATAGCAACAACAGTCTCCTGGCTACAATTTGGGTCTGTAATTCAGAGTCAGTAGTTCAAGTCTGCCTGAATTTTTGGTGCAGAGACATAGCCCCTAAGATGGCCCTGTAGAAGCAGCAGTAAGAACAGTGGTGTAGCTAGGGTTGCCAGATGGTTTCAACAAAAATACCGGACACACTTGACATGACACCACAATAGACATTCCATCTTATTTAGAACATACCGGACAGTTCTATTTTCTCATTTCTATTTTCTCAATTTGTTTCCCGGACAGAAAGCTCAAATACTGGACTGTCCAGTTCAAAACCCTACAGATGGTTGTGAAAATGACTAAACCCTAGTGGGTGCCGCCAAAAACCCAAACAGAGGCATAGGTTCCCCACCTCTGGCCTGGAGAGACCTAAGTGGCGAGCAGGCCGCATCTGGCCTGCAGACTGCCTTGATCCAGCTGGAGGGGCTCAGGGCTCATCCCCCTCACCTCACAGGAGCAGTGCTGTTGCTGCAGTAATGTGTGAGGAAAATAAACGCCCTGAGCATCACAGGCCGGATCCAGGCAAGCCAGGGCTGGATCTGCCTGCCAGGGGGAAGAAGTGGCTCCTGCATGCTTCATGGGGATTGCTCCTTGTTGGTTGAATTGCAGTCAATGGGATGGTGGGGGCATTGCTGGTGAGGGACGCTTCTCTGCAGTTCACAGAGCCGCATGGAGCCATGTGCACCCCCCCCTGAGCTGTGCCAGTTAAGTGCCTGTGTCCCCATTTGCTGGCCCTCAGTGTGCTCTCACACCCTCTCTTTCTTCCATACTGTACACCCTCACCCTGTACCTGCATCCCCTCCCTTCCTGACCCCACACCTCCACCCACTCCTGCACCCCCCCAGATGCCCATTCCTGTGTCCTATCATCCAGACTCCAAACCTTGAAAATTTACTAGTTCTGGTCCCCTCAGTTTCTAGGGTTGAGCTTAAGTGTTAGTAAAGTGAACTTTTTTTTTTTTCCCTGCTTATCAGCTGGGAGGCACTTCTGTGAGGGGTATTTTTTTCTCCTTACTTTTGGGGGCCCAGGTCACTGAGTTTTGGCTTTGGGGTTTTGTTTTGTTTTTTGCACTTCTCACTTGTATGGACACTAACTGATGTTTCTGTGGGTCAGGGCCCTCCCTCACCAAAAAAAAAAAAAAAAAAGAGTTCCCCAACTCTGCTCCAGGCTAAGAGTCCCAATCCCCAGAATGTCAGAATGTGGGAATCCTCTAGCACTTAACACTAATCCATCACCATAGTCTCCTTTCACCCACTCTGTGCAAGTGTTTACCATATAAATTATCTCTTTGTTTGCAATGCACATGAATTGATAATGGAGAGTTCCCAAAAAAAAAAAAAAAAAAGAGTTCCCCAACTCTGCTCCAGGCTAAGAGTCCCAATCCCCAGAATGTCAGAATGTGGGAATCCTCTAGCACTTAACACTAATCCATCACCATAGTCTCCTTTCACCCACTCTGTGCAAGTGTTTACCATATAAATTATCTCTTTGTTTGCAATGCACATGAATTGATAATGGAGAGTTCAAAGCTCAGGGTGAGAGAGTCATGTTGATTTCTGAACAGACACTCTCTCCCCTCCCTGCTTGCCCAGGTTCCTGCTGTTCTTGTCAGCTTTTACCTGCAAAGATCAACCAGGTGCTTTCAGAATTACTTAGCTGCAATGGAAATGCAAATAGAGGCCAGTCTTTTATATGTATGCAAACATGGTTCCCAATGTGCGTGAATGCAAACGCGGAACTCTTTAGAGACTAAACAGAGAGACAGCTGTGGAAATGGAAAAAGGCAGAAAGATCCTGCTTTTGTTTGAAAAAATCTGATTGTTTTTAAGCAACATTGCATCAAGCAGGTTAGTCCCAACTGCTAGGTTTTGTTTTAAAAAGTTTGAGAGATTACTGCGGCAGCATACTATTTAGTCCATACAAACTTGAAGATGAAATGGACTACCAGCAAATTTGAAACCAACTAATTTATTGTCCTGTGTGACCAAAAATAAGTGACCTAACAAAGGATCAGTGGTGAAAAATAAAATGAGCTTTTTACATACATTGATAGATGATAAAAACTAAAAGTAACACAGATAAAAGAACCCATTATCAATCTGAGAGAGAGAGAGAGAGAGAGAAAATCTCCAACACAGATGTCTACAGATTTTTATTCTTTATTCTGGGGTTTTGTGTTTCATGTCAGAACTCTTGCTACAGAGTCAGCTCAAAAGGAGAAGCAAGGATTTGTATTCTCTTTTCAAACACCAGCCCTTCTGGAGATGAAGAATTCACCCACTGGATTCTTACACACATCTCAGTCAAAACAAATTAAATAAAAAAGTAACAATTCATCTTAAAGAGAGAATTTTGCTTTGCCTGATTCTCATCATGACCATATTTTCTGAACCAAAATAGGTACAAAGTGGCCACGCCCACAACCCCTATTAGCCATGCCTCTTGACCCCCATTAGCCACGTCCCTTGCAACAAGAAAGCCCACCTCTGGAGGTAGTACCCCTCCCTACACTTTCCTAGTGCCTGCCCCTGCCCTCTTTACTCTTTTTCTCCCTGGTTCCCACCTCATCACCACCCTCTGCCCCAGTTCTCACACCCCTCTGTGCCCTTTCACATGACTTGCTCCATCCCTTGCCTTGCTCATTCCCACCCCTCCTTTCAACCCCTCTTTTCCCAGCACCCCCAACTTCCTCACTCCTCTTCCTTCCCACTGCCACTCCACCTGCCTGCATTCCCCTGTCCCCTCCCCTCACCCATCCCCACTGACACCTTCCCTCCCATCCCCCCTCATGCCCTTTTCTTCATGTCTCCTCTTGGCCCCCCTGGCATTTGTCTCTCCTCCACCTTGCCCCTTTCTTCTCCTGCCCTGGTTCCCCTCCCTTTCAGCACAAGCCCCTTTCTCTCCTCATCCACCTCCCTCTTAATTCTCCCCCTTGATCTTCCCTCACCTTCTGCCTTCCATGTGGGAAGCAGATTGCGGGGGCTGGAACCAGGGGCCCTGCAGCCCCAGCCCCAGCCACTCCTGAGGTGGGACAGTGTACTTGGACTGGAGCTAGGGCCGCCTGCAGGGACCAGGACTGCATCCCCGACTTCAGCTGGAGTCAAGTGGTGGCCGCTTGAGACCTGTTGTGGTGAGGCTACGCTTGACTCCAACTGGAGCCGGGGCCACCCATGGGGACTGGGACTATGGTATTAAAAACAGTACCACGGATGGACCTGGCTTCAGCTGGAGTTCAGCAACAGCTGCACAAGGTGCGCTCTTGGAACCACCTGGCACCCCCTCACAGCGGCCGCTGTACAAAGAGCAAGTGGCTGCCTGGAGATGGAGAAGACGACGGCATGGCAGGATCAGGCTGCAGGCAGCAGAGCTGTCCCAAGGGGGGAAGAACGGGGGGAGTGAGCCACATGGTGGTGGGATGTGGGCTGACAGGAGTTGCAGGGTGGCGGCACACACCGCACTGGAGCTTGAAGAATGCTTCAGGCTCCAGCTTCCAACTCAACCCGGAAACAGTGCACCACCAGAAGCAGTCTTGGCTACTACTGACAAGGCATCCAGGGAGCCGCCTATGTGCTGGAGGACAGGGGGGCATTGCTGCTGCACTGCTCTAGTGTCTGCGAGGCTGGCCCGGCGGGGAGGGAAATGGCAAAGCCATTTCTAGCTGGGTGTGCTGTTTCTGAAAAGGAGACAGAACCCCACAGGTTGACACCCATCTGTCCCCACCAGAACAACAGAGGAGAGATCATCACAGATTTACACTTCTTACTTAGGCATTTCTATTCAAAAGCTTACTTTAGATGCAGCCACCAACTGAGCTGTGCTGGCTGCAATTTCATGGGAGCAGACAATCAGTTCTTCATATTTGCCTGTATGTAGGACCACTCTGTCTGCGGATTCTCTAGAATATAGATCAATAGTGAAGTCCGATTAGTGAAGCCTCGCATAAATATAAAGCGGGGAAGTACGAAGCTACATATCCTTAGAAACTCTCATGTGGACTTAAATAATTGTCTGCAAAGCTTTTCTTTGAAAGGGTTCATGCATAGAAGAATCATGTTAAAACCCCAGAATCTAAAGGTACTAGAAGGGTGTAAACTTAACAAAGAGGATGACTAGGGTGGTCCCATGAGGACGTGGATTCAGGCTATCAGAAAACAATACTTTCTTGCTGTGAAATGCATTAGGATTGTGGAATATTTTCCTATTGACCGAATCCTACTATTCATGCCAATCGGAAAAGAGTCCCACTCCTGGTAGGACTGCATCCTATGTTGTTACCATTGTTTCCATTGTGATAACGCCCAAAATGTACTCAATATTTTGCTAACAAGAGGAAACAAAAATGCTTCCCCTGGGACAAAGCTTACAACCAATGTCTGTATTATCAGGAGTTGATGACCAAGTAGAACAGGAGACAGGAAGACACTAGATATTCAGTTGACTAAGGAGTGTGGATACAGAGAACTGAGATACAACAGTCTATTTGGTCAGCTCTAAACTCAGTTGAGAGGAAACTGGAGCTCACATTGGTTACAGGTTTGGGCGTACAAAAACTCTGTATCTGCTTAGTGCAGTATATCCTGAGAGTCCCCTCCCATGCAGTGCATGAGAACCACTTCCAGTCTCAGACGACGTAAAACCTACAGGCACTGCAGATACCTACACAAGCTGTGTGGCTCCCCATCCTACAGCTTTGGAAGCAGAGATCAAGCCTTCTGTCCAACGGGAGTTCTTAGCATAAAATTCTTGTGTTGTTGCTGCCCCCTATTGTCACAAAAATGTTAAGTTGCATTTAAACCGTGCATCAGTTTTTAAATAAACAATGAACATATCAAAATAGATGTCACATTTTACAATTGTTCTTAAACATGTCAGCTCTCTTGAGAACACCATAAACAGCATGTCCCAGGGTCAATCAAAAACATGGAACATGCAGGCTAAATTTTCCCAAAATCAGGAGGCTCTTAAATCCATATTTGGATGCTTACCGCAGAGTGGCCCAATTTGCAGTAATGCTGTGCCCAAAGTCAACGGGAGCGGCAGGCATTCCACTTTTCTGACAAATCAGGCCACATTTACTTAAATACCTAAATCTAGAATTTTAGGCCTCCAGGACTGAAAATTTTGGCTTCTGTTTAAAATAGGCTGGATTGAGTTGTTGCCATCACCTGTACATTGACCAGGCTTGTTAAGAGGAGAGCAAATATCTCCTGAAAGCACAAGGCATGGATGCCTTTTTCAATAACATCCCACACTTCATACCATACAGGATGCTTCAGAAACTGTGACATTAGGTTAACAATTGAGCAAGTCAAGCTATTTGTGAACAGAAATCCTTCGATATTTCATGTCAGCCAGCAAAGAGGAGTGGTCCCAAAGTGAGCCTTACCCTTCCACTTTCAACAATCTCCTTTTGTAAATGGGTAGATGTCATTACGAGAAGCCTAATTGCCTGAAACAAATCAAAGCAGACTCCATTGTTTTACAAGGATTTTATAAAGAGCAATTGCTCAGCCAACACCTGATATTTTCAGGAATTTTAACATGGGTTTAATACCACACTTACTAACCTTCATTAGATCAGTGCAGGAGTTCAAAATTCTGTTGGAAACAAGAGAAAATATTTTGCAAATTTGAATCATGGAGCATCTTGTGTGTGATTCAAATGAAATGAAAATGACACCAAATCAAGCAGAACCTGTTCTGAGGGATGAGAAAAACTTCAAAACAGAAAACTTCTTAAAAACAAATGCAGCAATGTAGTTTTGCAGTACAATACATACGTTAGCCCAGCATGTTATATTGAGGACATGCTTTCCCATCCCCCCACTCTACATGAGAATATTTTGCTTAAAATAAGAATTCTCACGGTGCTGTTGTTCAGTAAGGGGTGACGGCACAAGGCACAGGAAAGGCAGGCTTGTCAACAGACTCACCATTACACAGATGGCTTCATTTAAAGATAGCTATGTCCTCATTAATAGCTCTTCCCCTCAAAAACAGAAGATCCAGATTCCACATATGCTAACTCTCCCTTAGTTAATGCTTTTTACTCACCTCTCGTTCACTTCCAGTTTAACGCCAGAGCTTTTATTTCTGGCCTGATTCATCATCTCCTGTTGAGAATGAGGAGAGATGGTTAAAAAAAACTGCCACCTGATTGGCTGTCAGGAAAAATAAAGGTAGAAAGTTTCCCTTCATGAGATTCTGTCAAATGAACTGATGTTGTCAAGTCTGAGAATACTGGACAACCATGCGGTTCTAATGGGACTATGGCCAGAAGTCACTCGCATTTCTGACTTGTCTCTGCTAGACACAAAGAGCCCATAAGCTTCATCTCACCTCTATCCTTCTGACAGCATCTTCAATAGCTGCGGAGGTGGAGGCCATTTCTTTATCAACCATATCACCCAGCTCTTCTTGCTTGATGTCTAAGCTTTTGGGTCTCAGCTCCTGGCAAAGGGAAGAAAGTGATGAGCCAGCATGAAATCAGGCACCAGGATAAAAATTTTCCTAAAGATTTCAAACAAACAACTAGCAAAAAATCTCTCTTTGGCCTGGAAACAGACTCCACAAATATAAATAGCTGAGAAGGACCCAGGTGAACCAGAGTCTTTCAGTAATTATATTAGAGAAATCTTAGAGAGATTCAGAGGGTCACCAAGGATGTTTGGTTTCTATTTAAAGAAGACACTCCAAAACCAGGGACAGAACTACATTTCACCATGGTGCCATTCTCAGCCAGCTGGAGGAGCTCATTGTTCGATAAGCTAGGAGCACAGTAATGTATAACACGAGGGGGGATTTTGGAACAGGAGGGTGTATGTGGGTTCACAAGTTTTTCATGGATTTACGAAGCCTCTTACTGAACCGAAATACAATGAAACCAACTCAAGTTATTTCTTCTGAAATGCTACCCAATATCTTGTTGCTTCGACCCCTAGACTTGGCTCCTGGAATTAAAGCACACAGGGTACTTAAAAAGAAGATGAAGCAGCTAAATGTGACATTTGAAAGATTGGGCTTTGACTGGGTCCTTGCAGAACCAAATGTGCAGCCCCAGGAGACCGAGTGATTCAAATTCAATCTTAGGTCAGGGATGTTTCCAGCACAACAAACCTTGCTTCTACATAAGGAAAGGGAGAGGGGTTGCTATACAATACAAAAAGAAGTAACATTTCATGGCCCCAGGCTCTCAGTGATGCCTTCACCAACATTACGTTCATTTGGGATTTTATTTTTTTAATCTAAAAAGGAAAAAATAGTTGTTTGCTCTACATTCAGGATCTGGACAAGTTGATAAAGAATAAGCCATGTAACCAAATACAAGATAAAGTTTCCTTTTTCTAGCTGGGACTTGGCATGCTGGACAAGAATTCAATACACATTTAGATTTTAAACTGTTAACAAATACAAACCAGAGCTACCGCCCTTTGATTGGCCCAAATAAGACATTAGAGCAGATTTACACAGAGCAAGAGGAAAGAGGTAGCAGACTAAGGGATGCTGGAATAAATCACAGCTTTGGTGTAAAAGGTTATGGTGTAGAATTAGTGAGGGGGGACGGGCAGTGATGGATGGAAGAGAAGCAAGTCCTTCATCTAATGCTCACTGCAGTCAGTGCATAACTGACTCTCTAAGACACAAGGATCACAATATTGGAGGACGAGCTAGTGGTACCAACAGCAAATACACATAAGAGAGATTTGAGAAGGGAGATGTCCTGGAACCTGGAAGTGTCATTTCTGAAGGTGGTAAAAGTGCCCTGTATAAAACCCAAGCCAGTCCCCAGCGTCAGGTATAACAAGCTGGAAGGATCCAACAGGCTTTTCAGCAAGAGAGAAAGTGAAAGGTGTTAAGCTCCTTGCTGTTAAGCACTGATCTGCACTCATCACTAGCCAGCAGAAGCCATACTCCGGCAGTGCAAAGGGTTACATTTGCTGCTGTAAGTAGAAACCAGTGCACATCATAGACAGCAGAGGAAGCTGGTGGGGTGGGGGGGCAATTTGCAGACACTGTATTTTATTTCCATCTGAATCATCTGAGCATCCTTCTACTGGTATGTCTCAGACCCATTAGGTCTAATTCATTCCTAGTATAGCTCCTCTGGATTAGCTGGAGTCACACCAATGGTGAATTTGTCCCACAGCAATGACTTGTGTCTGAGACGAAAGTGTTGCCACGAGTGAGGCCCCGCTTCTGAGGCTTGCCCCTACCTGGCCCAGTTGAAGGATGCCCTGCAGCGCTCTCCTCACGTCCTTCGGGTTTGCCTGTTGCAGCAGCTGTTTATCCTTCAGCTCATTCAGGTACTCCAGACTCTGCTGCCCACAGTCCCTGCAGGTGTCAGTTAATTCTGATGGGGGAAAGAATCGTTATGGGGAAAGGTTACAAGAATGCAGGCAATTTCTTTCCCCATGTAAGGGAGTGTGGCCTAATAGGCCAAGACCAGGACCAGGAGCCCCCGAGTTCTAATCCTGACCAAACACTGACTCCCCTGGAGGCTTCCTCTGAGATGCTGGGTGGGTTAAACTAACAGTTCTCAGACTGTGGGCTGGGACACCAAAGTGGGTCAGAACCCTATTTTAACGGGGTCTCAGGGCTGGCTTAGAGTTACAGGGGCCCAGGCATGAGCCTTACCACCTGGGACCAAAGCCAATGCCTGAGGGCTCGGCCCTAGGGTTCAGGTTACACGCCCCCTACCTGGGGCTACTTTGCCCCCTCTCCCCCACTCTCCCTGGATGATACAGCTCAGGCTTTGGCCCCCACAACCTGGGGCAGCAGAGCTTAGGTTGACTCAGCTTTGGTCCCTCCTCCTGGGGCTGCGTAGTGACTTTTGTTGTCAGAAGGGGGTCTCCATGTAATGAAGTCTGAGAACCCCTGGCCTCAGCAATGCTTTGACGAGTGCAATCTCAGCACCACGTATTTCCATCCAGAAGTGAAATTGCACAACAGGAAAGATCAGCAGCCATAGGAAAGAGTCAGATGAACAGACAGGAAACTGGGAAGCAGCCTGGCATAGCGGCCAGTGCACTGAACTGGAGCTTGGGAAATATGGCTGACTCTGCCACTAACTTCCTGCGTGCCCTTGGGCAAGTCGTATTGTCTCTCTGGGTCTGTTTCCCTGCTAGGAAGGGTAACTGATCAAACTGTTACCTGATAAACATCACCCTAAAAGGGTGATGCTTACCGGGTAGTGGTTAACTGGTATCTGGGTACCCCCAGCAGGAGGGGGCCAGGAGCTGTGGCAGCAACTTCTGTGGAGAGGGGAGAAACCAGGAGCGGCTGAGTTAGAGCATCCCCACCCCATCCCCTTTAATCAGTTAATGTAGTGTTAGCGCCATGTTTAACTGCTTAACCAAGTAAACGGGATTTTACATCCCTGTTCCCTGCCCAATCTTTGTAGGACCATCTCCTTTAGTTCAAATGGAAGCTCTCTGGGGAAGGGACTCCCTCTCTGAGTGTCTGCACAGTGCAGCCCTAATCTTAGCTGATACAATAGGAGCTAGGTCATAAAAACTAAGAGGCAGCCTGCTTCAGGGAAGGGTTTGCATTCTTTCTTGGCAAAGCAGGGAGAGAGCCCGTCACATTTAATTAGTGCCTGTCTGATTAGTGCCAACAGAAAGAAAGCTCTGCTGAAGCCTGCACCACATTTAGTAACCAGAGAAAGATACTTCGTTAGCTCTGCCCTCCCACATCCTAACCACCATGTAATGAGTCATTCAAATCCCTCCATAGCAGACATGAGCCTTCCTGCTTGTAATCAGGTGTGCCCCTCACAAGGCTACGGCTGCAGTGGCACAAGACCATACCCAGCCTCATGTGTACCTCCTCTCTCCATCAGCCAGGCGGTGATAGCAACTGTGGGTCCTGCCACACCCCATGTAAGTTGAGGTGGCACTGAGAGGCCCAATGCACTAGGCAAATGGCACCAACCTCTGGCATTGGTTTATTCAGTGGGGCTGGACATATGGGCAGGCGTTGAGAACAGAGGAGAGTCCATGCACTTGCATTAGAAGTGCTAATTGGTTGAGTCTCAATCCGGTGTCTGCATCACACAAGCTACCAGCACCTTTGGCACGAAAGGGCGCCATCCTGGCAGAGAGACCCAGCTGGGATTGGGCCATTGAGACCGAAAGCCCCTGTCCCCACTAGGACGCTGTCTCACATCAGGCTGA